TAAATTTAAAAAAAATATATATATATATATATATATCAAGGCTGGACATTCAATAAGACAATTAAATTTAATGCCTAGAGCCCCCAAACTTATAAGGCCTCCAAATTTTTTTAATAGTAGTATTATTGATATAAATTAATTTTTAAAAATTAATAATATTTGAGATAAGACCCAATATTTTATAAGATACATATCTCATATTTTTTATATCTCTTATTTTCTTATTATTAAAATTACTTAAAAGACCACAAACCATTTATTAGTTTTTGTAAATGAAAAGTCACTAAACATTCAACAGTCACTACTACTTTTACCTTTTACAGACAATAGATTTTCAACTTCTTTGTTTTCTCTCTAGTCTATCTCTTTCTCATTCTCTCTCTTCATTCTCATTCTCAATCCTTCTTCGCGTCTAATTTGAGAGCTTAATTGGAAGCAATACGGTCCTAATCTGTCTTTTTTCTTAATTGATTCCTACGTTTTAAAAATCAAGGAGTACAAAAAAGATTGCTAGACATAAACCTTAAAGCATATTATACTCCTTGCGGTTGTCATAATTTGAATTTGGTTCGAGGTGATATGGCAAATTCATGTTCTAGAGCTATTTCTTTTTTGGAGTTTTACAACGTATTTATTCTTTGTTTGCTTCTTCTGCCAAACGGTGGAAAATCTTACAAGAAAATGTATTTAAGTTTTTAGTTAAATCACTATCTCAAACAACATGGGAGTGTAGAATTGAAAGCGTTAAAGTCATAAAGTTTCAAGCACCAAAAATAAGGGATGCACTTGTTCAATTATCAAAAACTAGTGAAGATCCTAAGATAAAGAGTGAAGCTATGTGTTTAGCGACTTATGAGATAGATAAATTAGAATTTTTATTGGGAATGAATATTTGGTATATATGATATACTTTTTGCGGTTAATCTTGTAAGTAAGATCATGCAATCTAAAGATATGCATATAGATGTTGCCATAGATCACTTAAGAGGCCTTATAACATTTAAAAAATTATAGGGAAAATGGTTTTGCATCTACATTAGAATCCACCAAAGAAATGACTATTGAAATGGATACAGAGTTTAAGTTCATTGAAAAACGTAAGATTCATAGGAAAAACATTTTGATGACATTGATAGTGATGAGATATGAACAATTTTTAGAATATGAAAATATGTTTATTTTTTTATTTGATTCAAATAAATTTAAAACTTTAGGGGAAGATGATTTGAAAAAATATTGTATCAATCTTGAAAAGATTATGAGTTTTGAGGACCATTTTGATATTGATGGTCTTGATTTATTTTCAAAATTAAAGTTATTGAAAGAAATTCTAACAAATAAAATTAACACACCATTAAAAATATTAAACTATATAAAAAGATCATGTTCTTTTCCAAATACATACATTGTTTATAGAATATTATTAACATTACTTGTAATTGTCGCGGCTGTTGAAGGAAGTTTTTCAAAATTAAAATTGATTAAATCATATTTAAGATCAACTATGTTATAAGATAGATTGAATGAATTAGCTATATTATCTATTGAGAGTGAGATGTTAGAATTACTTGATTATAAAAATAACATAAAAATTATTAGACTATATTAACATAAACTCTTGTCTTAATTTTTGCCTAAGGCCCCAAAATTTCTAGATACGGCCCTGATATATATATATATATATATATATATGTTTACTTTAGGAGTAAGTCTAGGTAAACTTACTCTATTCAATAACTCATGTTCTATATCAAATTTTAACGATCCAATCGTTGAATTTAAAGTTCTTAATGCATAGATCAAATTTTTAAATTTTTTAAAAATTTAAAAATCATTTGATACTTCATTTCATTAATTTAAATCGATGTATAAAATGATTTTATGATTATCTGTCAATTCAAATTAATTAAATGAAGTATCAAATGGTTTTTAAATTTTTTTAAAAATTTACATATTTGATCTATGCCTTAAGAACTTTAAATTCAACGATTGGATCGTTAAAATTTGATGTAGAATATGAGTTATTGAACGGAATAAGTCTAGGTAGACTTACTCTTAGAGTAATATATATATAAAGTTGACATCTATTTATTCTAAAATTAAGTATATTTAAACTTATTTCGCTTGAAATAAATATATCGTTCCTCTTTCTTCACGCATATTGATAAGATTATTGTTTTTGTACATATGTAACTGAACCTGAATTTCACCCTAAGCTTTAACTAAAATTGTTGAACATATTAGAAAAGATGTGTTTGTTAGTTTTTGGGATTCCAATCTGGCCAAAATCTATTTGATACTGATTAAGTTGATTTAGGAATCTATTAAGAGTGTTTTTAGGAATTATTGTAGGCAACTCTTGTATATAAACTAATACAGTAGATCATTGAAAAGGCAGAGTTTTGTTCTCTCATATTTTATATTTTATTATGGCATTAGAGCATGTGAATTCAAAGGGAGATGATACAAAAGTGACGGGGAATATATATGACACGTCTTCTTGACCAAGGGAAGAAAATTCCCTTACCATATGATCTCAACTCGAGTGATAACCCGGGAAATGTAATCACCCAGGTGCAGCTTCTAGGAGAGAATTATGAAGAATGGGCACATGCAATGAGGATTTCATTGCATGCTAGAAGAAAATGGGGGTTTGTAGATAGAACGATTATCCAAACGAAGGAAAGATCGTTCGAGATGGAGGATTGGTGGACATTGCATTCCCTATTGGTAGCATAGATCTTAAAAACCATTGAACCTAGCCTACATTCTACATTTTCTTATATGAAGAATGCCAAGGACCTGTGGGAAGGCATAAAGGAGCGATTCTTGATCATAAATGGCCCAAGAATACAGTAGTTGAAGTCAGACATGGCCAACGACAAGCAAGGAGACTTGACTATGGTGGCTTATTATGGAAAATTGAAAATGTTATGGGATGAGTTAACTGATTATGAACAGATTCGAACTTGTAACTATGGAGGGTGTAAGTGTAGTATTGCATCTAAATTGGAGAAACATAAGGAAGAATAAAAGGGTGCATCAATTTCTCATGGGACTAGATGATGTGACCTATGGAATTGTGTGTTCCAATCTCCTAGCAACAGATCCATTGTCTTTTATGAATAGGTATATTCAACCTTAATACAGGAAGAAAGGATGAGAACAATCATTAAAGCAAAGGAAGAAAGTGGAGAGGTCATGGGATTGGTTGTTCAAAGTAGTACCAAAGTTAAAGGATGTGGAGACACAAAGGACAAGAATGTGATATGCAGAAATTGCAATAGAGTAGGACATGATGTAGCAAAATGTTTTCAGTTGATCAGTTATCCTGATTGCGAAAGAGACCTAAAAATAAAGGAAAAAGTGGTAGACAAAGCAAGGCAAAATAACGGGTCAGAGTAAGATGTGGAAGAATGGTCTTGTTGGGC